GCCAAGACAGTGGGCTGGTCCACCAGGGGTGGGGTGCAGGCAGGTCCTTCCCAGGGCCAAGACAGTGGGCTGGTCCACCAGGGGTGGGGGGCAGGCAGGTCCTTCCCAGGGGTCCGCCTGGGAGCCTGAAGCCGAACCTCTCGCGGTCCTCGCACCCACAGCTCGCCAGTGGTCCGGCACTACAAGGTGAAGCACGTGGGGTCCACGTATGTGATCGACGTGGAGGAACCGGTGAGCAGTGGGCGTGGCCGGGACTAGGGCCCACAGCGTCCACCCCCCCCCACTGCCTGACCACGCCCCCATTTCCCCTCCCCAGTCCTCCTGCCCCTCTCTGGACGCCGTGGTTAACTACTTCGTGTCGCACACCAACAAGGCCCTGGTGCCCTTCCTGCTGGACGAGGACTACGAGAAGGTGCTAGGTGAGTGCAGCCCAGGGAAGCCACTTCCGCCCCCACCCCAACACACACCCCTGGGTCAGGCTCCGGTCGCCGCGCCCCCTCCAGGCCGTCCTCTCTGTTCTAGGCTACGTGGAGGCAGACAAAGAGAACGGCGAGAGTGTGTGGGTGGCGCCCTCAGCCCCGGTGGTCCCTGGCCCAGGTGACGCTCCCTCCCCGAGGCCGCTGGGGCAGAGGTGTTAAGGGCTGGGCCCTGCAGTTAGCATGTCCACACACTGCGTGATTGCGCACGAGCTGCAGGAACCTGGAAATGACCCAGACCCTGTTCCCAGACATCTCATCTCCCAGGTTTGGGAGCTCAAGGCTGTGGGGTCCAGGCTCGGTCGGGGCGGGGTCACGGTTGGCCAGAATTGGAAGGGGCAGGGCGGAGTTCAGGAAGGCTTCCTGAAGGAGGTGGTGTTTGCTGAAGGTTTGAAGACTTCAGTAGGCGTGATGATGGTACTGTGTGCACAGGGGGTGCACTGCCTGGTGGGCAGAAGCCAGAGGTGGGAAAGGGGGCGGCGGTCTTCTGAAAGGGGCGGGAGCCCAGTCTATGGAGGGAGAGGAAGACATAGAGGGCTGTGGTCATGAGGGCCATGTATGTATACATTTACATACACGGGCACACACCTATACATGTGAGCTGTATCGACTTCCCTAACCAGAAACTCTTCATACAGTACAGTAGCTGTGTGAACATACACATACCTGCGTTCCTGCACATACCATGTAGTCCACCTGTTCCCACCCTCTGCCATCAGTCTGTCCCGACTCCCAGTCACCCTCTCGGACAGGGTAGAACTGCTCCACTGTTCCAAGGCTGTCAATCTTTACGGAAGCCGACTGCCTCAACTTTCTCCCTGGGGGGGTGGGGGGGTGCATTGGACCCATTGGCCCTGCACAACCTAATGCACTACTGGGCACAATTGTGTGTACACAACAGTGCAGCTATAGCTGTTCACAAGCTGAACTTAAAACACGTGTACACTTACAATTTGGCAAATGACACAGAGTGGGGCAAGCAGAGACTGCCCTTGGGTGCTGATTAAAAGGTGGAAGCTTCAAGTCTGCTAAAGGTTGCTTGGAAGAACGGCCCACCATCTACTTCTGGGGAAAGTATCCGCTATGGTGAACCCTTTGGAGCAGAGTTCTCTGTTTGCACCTAGGAGTATCATGAGTTGGCGTCCCCTTGACTGACAAGTGGTTACTGATGACACGTAACACACTCACTCGAGAGCACCCAAGTGTGTGCCTAGACCCTACACATACATTCACAGTGAGTTATGCCTGTACTCATACCCCCAAGGGAGCCACAGCTCATGGGAAAACTGCACGTAGGTAAATTCCATGGCTGGGTACACAGGTGCACACAGGCCCAGCAGCAGAGACACGCATGTACGTCCAGTCCCCTTCCTGAAACCACACAGGCCCGTCCCCACCCCACCCCCAGGGTATCCTGCCACACCTGGGGGCCCTGACAGTGCCTGCCTTTTCCAACCAGGTCCAGCGCCCCCTGCCGGCGGCCCCAGGCAGCCACCTCCTGTGTCCATCCCTGTGCCTGCTCTGAACCAGCCGCCACCTCTGCCCCCGCTGCCCCCACCGCTGAGCCAGGACGAGAACTATGTGATCCCCATTGAAGACAGCCCAGCTGCTAACTACGTGAACGAGGAAGGTGGGGATGGGAACAGGTGCTGTGGGCAGGAAGTACACACCGCGTTATGGAAGTTTGATACGACAAGTCATACTGCCCCTCTGCCCACCCAGTGCTGGCCTCCTGTCGGCAAGCCATCCAGAAGCCCAAGAAACTACTGAAGCCTCAGGCAAAGACCTCAAAGCCACCTCCTGTGCCCAAGCCAGGTAGGGGGCGGGGGGCGGGGCTTTCCTCTATGGGGGGGGGGGCCCTACCATGACCAAATCAAACAGGAGGGGCCTCTCCTTGGCTCTGCCCACTATGACCAACCCAGGCAGGAGGGAGAGCTTTCCCCAGCCCCACGCACTGTGCCCAAACCAAGCAGGAGGAGCCTCTCTCTGGCCCCACCCACCATGTCCAAGCCAGGTAGAGGGTCTCTTCCCAGCTCCACTGGCCACCTGTGGAGAGCGGGTGGCTTTGGCTCTCACCTGCCTTCACCTCCACAGAATCCAGAGCCCTCAATGGCATCTTGCTGGGCCGTACAGCTCAGGGCAGTCTTCCCGCCACAGGTGAGGGAGCCGGGCATTCCCACCCCCACCCCCCTCCATCTTCATCACTGCCCAGGGCCTAGTGCTTGGCTTCATGCCGGGTTGGGATTTCCAAGGCATTTTAGGGAGATCTGTGGTGACCCTGATGGTTAAGCGTTTGGCTGCTAGAAAGGTTTGACCCTCCACCCACACACCCAGAGGTGCGGGGGGAGACCTGGTGATCTCTTTGCGAACGGTCCCAGCCACAGACACCCAAGTGCAGCTTTACCCTAGCAGACAAGAGTGATTCAACTCACACCCATTGCGCTTCTTGGACACGGGGTCGCTGTCTCCACGTGGCACCCCCAAATCAAAAATCATACCGAGGGCCATTGAGTCGATGCCGACTCACAGCGACCCTACAGGATAAAGTAGAACTGCCCCCACCCCCGTGAGTTTCTGAAGCGCTAATTCGGCACAGGAGTAGAAAGGCCTGTCTCTCGCTACGGAACTGTTGGTTTGCAACCTTCGACTTTGCGCTTAGCAGCCCTGCCGTAACCACAGCGCCACCAGGGCTCCTCTCCCCTTGCACTGGGCCCTGCAAATTCTGGCCAGATTGGGGGGGTGAAAGGGGGGCTGCCTGGTCCAGCTGAAGCCTCAGGAGCCCCGCCCCCACAGGGCTGGCCGAAGTCACCGCGGAGCTGCAGGAGAAGCTAATGAAGAGGCGGGCCCTGGAGCAGTGAGTGAGGTCGGTCGGACAGTCAGAGCGCGCTGGGCACCCGCAGAGGCGAAGCACTTCCGCCCCAGCCTCCCCTTTCCAGTATTAAAGCCCGTACCCCCGGCCCCCAGGGCTAACGTGTGTGTGTGTGTGTGTGGCTTGGCTTGGGGAGAGGGTCTCTGTGGTGTCCACTTCCTGCCCCTACTTCCTCCAAATGTTCTGCTCAGCAAAACCCTGCAGAAAAAAGCCCGTGACAGGCCCGGTGGTGGAGTGCCGCCCAGCCCCAAGTAACCAGCCCCACAGCCGGGCCAGTGTTTGACCTTTATTGGGAGACAGGGTGGGGGTGCCTGCTCCCTGGTGGGGCCCCCAAATCAGGAGTTAAGGCTCCAAGCAGCAAGTGTGAGGAAGGCCACCGCGGCAGGGGCGGGGCCGGGGTCTAGGTGAGGCTGGTGTTGGAGCTGCTGGTAGCACTGTCCCGCTTCTGCAGGCAGCGCACAGAGCTGGGCACCTGCAGGCCGGACATCACCTGGAAGCTGCCACACCACACCTGTGGGGCGGGGGGAATGGGGCGAGGGGGGGGGTGAGGGCAAGAAGGAGGGAGGCAGAGATTCGAACCAGAGTTCCTGGGCCACCCGCTTCCTGTCCCTGGGCTGTGGGCGGGGCCTTACCGTAAATGCAGGTAGCACAGGCTGCGTGAACTTGGCCTTAAAGGTGTGAAGCAGCTGTTTGGTCCGGGCGTTGTAAAAGGACAGGAGGCCTAGGGTACAGGGTAGAATGGCCGGGGGGGCCTCTCAGATGTAAGGGCGGGGAGGGGGGAATTGGGGGGTGTTAATGGGGTTGACAGATGGGTGCTGGCTGGGGCTCCCCCGGGACGCAGCGGTCACCTTGGTGAAAGTCGCAGTGCACACCCAGGCAGTCGGGCACGGGGGCGTCCAGCGTCTTGGCTTTGTTGGCGTGCTTGGCCGTGAAGGTCACCTGCAGCCAGTTGTTGACATGCAGGCACCAGGACGCAGCTGTCTTGCCCAGCTGTTCGAAGCGGCCCAGGCTGCGGTAAGCCACGCCCACGCCAAAGGCCTTGCTGTCTGGTTCATAGCGCACCTCCCAGTAATGCTCACCGCTGTCAATTAACGTGTCCCCTGTGGCAGGCAGTGGAAGCTGGGTGCACATGCCCAGGGCCTCCTTCCTCCAGGCCCGCAGCCCCCACCCCAGCTCACCTTTCTCAACACTCCCTGCGCTCACTAGTCCTCACTGCCAAGAGTCCACTTGGACCCTCCAGGGCAGGGTAGTACTGCCCCCTGTGGGTTTCTGAGACTGCAATTCTTTACCGGAGTAGAAAGCCCCATCTTTCTCCTGCAGCGTGGCTGGTGGTTTCAAACTGCTGACCTTGCCAATTCAAACCGCTGTGCCACCGGGTTCCCTCATGCCCAGAGGCTCCTCGCAGACACCCTCTGCCCTATCAGACACCCTTGAGTTCCTCCCCATCTGCCCCAGCTCCTGGCTGACTTGTTATCCTCATAGGTTCAGGGCCTACCTTCCTGCAGGTGCTCCCTGACCCCTACAGGCTCCACTACAGCCACTGCTGCGGCTCCTTCCTCCTTGTCCCTGTCCCAATCCAGGTGTTTGCCTGCAGCCCCTGGAGGAGGCCAGTTTCCACTGCCCCGCGTCCCCCAGCTACGCCTGAGCCAAGCTACTCGCTAGGACTTTGCCCCTCTCAGCCTCCCCTGAACTTGGGTTGTAGCTCCGGAGTCTCTCCATACCCCAGCTGCTCCCTGAGGCCACGTGCTCCCCAGAGCTGCTCCCACCCCACCCCCCAATCGGGATTCTGGCCATCTCAGCTACTCAGTCCAGTGTGGCCCACACCGTGGCCCCACCCAGACCACAACTCTTCTCCATAGATATCTCAGCCACCCAGACACCGATGACCCCTCTGTCTCAGCCACTACCAAAGTTACGGCTTGTCCCCGCTCTCTGCTAAGGATTAGCTATAGCCCTCTTAACACCGCCACTTTGTAGACACCGTCCCACATTGCCCCCTTGCTGCTTCCCTACACTCCACCTCCCCCCAGTTCCAGGGGCTCCCCCCAGAAAATCGAATCTTAGTTCCACCGCTACCCCCATCCCACCTCAGGCTCCAGCAACTCCCAACCTCAGCCCTTAGATCAGCGGTTCTCAACTTGTGGGTCATGACCCCTTTGGAGGTCAAACGACCCTTTCACAGGGGTCACCCGATTCATAAGAGTAGCAAAAAATACAGTGATGAAGCAGCAATGAAAATAATTTTATGGTTAGGGGGTCACCACAACATGGGGAACTGTATTAAAGGGTCACAGCATTAGGAAGGCTGAGAACCACTGCCCTAGATATACCCCTGCCTCCACCTCTCTCCCCAGCTGAGCGGTAGCAAGTCCCACAAACCCTAGTTCCTCTGCTCACCCCTGACCTCTGCATTGCTGCTACCACCTCCAGTTCCAGCCATTGACTGGCTTCTCCTCAGGCACCAGCTGCTCCCTAGGGGCTGGCTCCTCCACATGCTTAACCTAAGCCCCTGCCCCAACCTGACTTGTGTCAGCTTCCCCACAGACCCAGCTACTCCTCAAGTCCGGGCTGCTCCACAGGCCCCTAAGAGACACCCCCTTGCCCAGTCCACAGCCTCTTAACTCCCCAGATTCTGATTGCGCCCACCTCCCCATTACCCCCAAACCAGGACCTCCCAGGGTAGCTTTGTGGATGGCTGCCTTGGTTCCCCCTTTAGCCTGCCCCCACCCCCACTGTCACCAACTCCCCACCCCCACCCCCTTCCTTACCCAGTACAGTGTAGGACTCGGCTGTGAAGCGGTCCCGGCCCCCACGACCTGAGGGCATCCTCTTGGGGGATGGAGTGCCTCTGTGGAAGCAGAGGTGGGGGTGAGGGGTGGCAGAAGTCCAGTTCAGCCCTCACCTCATCTGTACAAGGGCTTTCCAGGTCCACCCTAACCACTGTGGAGTTTTGGTTAGTCCCTGAAAATGATTTGGCTCTTTTCACATACTGGGTCCAGAATGTCAGAACATGCACATGCACTGGGACACTTGGAAAACCCCTATTCAACCTTCAGAACCCAGTTCACGGCGCCCTCCCCCTCATTCATTCACTGGGTTCTCTCCGCCCCAGCTCTGGTCAGAGGAGACTGAATATCTCCATGTCTAGCTTGGTATTGGGAGCAGGGGGGGGTGAGGGGGGGCAACCTGGCTGGAGAATTGACCGGAGACGCTGTCCGTCCCTTGCTGTCTTTCTCTCGAGCCTTGATATCCTGCACCTTCCCGCCCATGGCGTCCCACTCCACGGAGAGGTCATCCACCCGCAGGTTCTGGTGGGATGTGGACGCATCCAGGCGGAACATGAACGCTGGGGCCGGGCAGACATGGGAGTCACAGAGATGGGGCGGTGGGGGACCCAGAGAGACACAGAGAGAGACAGGCAGTGACCAAGACAGATCAAGACAGGAACGGAGGAGCAGGGAGAGACAAAAACACAGAGACAGTGAGACAGACAGACTAAGGCTCAGAGAGCGAGAGAGCCAGACAGAGAGAGAAAAGGGAGGTGTGAGAGGGGAAAGGAAGAGGGCAAAGGAAGGGCTAACTGTCTCCCAGGTTTGGAATTCTTTTTAAACCAATGGAGGGGCCCTAGTGGCCTAGTGGTTAAGCAGTAAGCTGCTAATCACAAGACCAGCAGTTCAAAACCACCAGCCGCTCTTTAGGAGAAAGATGGGGCTTTCTACTCCCATAAAGAGTTACAGTCTCAGAAACCCAAAGGGGCAGTTCTACCCTGTCCTGCAGGGTGGCTGTGAGTCTGCATCCACTCAACAGCAGGAAGTTTAGTTTAGTTTGGTGCTACTCTAATGAGCCTCCACTGGGGATAAATCCCAGGAAAGGGGCTGGGCGACAGCATGAAGAGGCAAGGCCAGACTGCAGCAGGACTTCCCAAGGAGTTACCGAGGAAGACTGAGGCATCTGTGTTCACCACTGGCATCCCACCAATTCCCCAACTCTGTAAAGAACATTTTCAGAAGTGTGTGTGTGTGTGTGTGTGAAAGAGAGACTATAAACCCCATCCAGGTGTAATGGATCAACCTCAAAAACAGAGGTGCACCAGCTATTCAGTTAGAGAAGGTCCCTTGGATTGAGCTCCGAGCTTTCTAGGAGCAATACCAGAAAGGCCTCAAGCCCAGTTCTAGGGTTCTTGCGACACACCGACCCTCCAGGACCCAGAGAGGGAGGGCTGGTGGTGTTGGAGCAGGACAGGGGTGGCAATCACCTGGTGTCTCTAGGGTTACCGGCTCTGAGAACTCGCCCGAGACAGCCTTGTTGCAGGCCTTCACTCGGAAGTTCAGGTACTTCATGTCGAACTTGAGACCTGAGGGACAAGAAGAGAGAGTCTCGGCCACCCCGTGTGGGCCAGGGTTTTTCAGGAGGCCGAGTGTTTGGGACTGGATTGCCAGGCCTTCCTTCTGAGCCACCTCTGGGTGGGCTTGACCCTCCCACTTTCTGGTTAGCAGCCAAGTGCAGGCACCATCCTCACGGGCTCCTGTATGAACTACATGTCCTCCTGGGGTGAAGGATACATGCGACCTCCCCTGCCCATTTATTTGTAGCTTCCTGGGAATTTGGAATTATCTCGGAAGAAAAAGTTACACTCCTCACCAAGGTGGGGAGGTTTCTGGGATTCTGGAGAAACGGGGCGGGTGTGTTTTGGTTCCCATGCGAAGAGCCCACCAATAGCTTCTCAGGCCCTTTGGCTGCTGCCTGGATGAGTTTTCTCTCCTGCAATTAGCATGCTCATTATTAACCATGTATGCTAATTACAGCTCCTGAGTAAGCTGATTACAGCGTCTGAGCCAGCTGGTGAATAGTGGTAGTTTGCTACTCAGCCAGCTGCCCGCCCCGTGGGACTCCTCTGACTCAGCATGGATTTTTAAACACATTGGGGACCCCAAAGTTTCACTGCCTCAGGCCTTGCCCCCCGCCACCAGGCAAGTGGGGTCCCCAGACTTTTTAATTTCTTAAAACTGCTAAGGGGATTCCTAGCTATTCAAAGAGTCCCCAGAACAATGGCACACAAAAGATGGGGATGTTTTCTCTGGTGGCATAGTAGGTTATGCGTTAGGTGGCTAACCAAAAGGTCGGCAGTTCAAACCCAGCAGCCCTCTGCGGGAGAAAAGACGAGTCTGTCTGATCCCATCAAGAGTCACAGTTTCCGAAACCCACAGGGGTAGTTCAACCCTGTCCTGCAGGGTTCCTGTAGGTCGGGATCCACTTGATCGATGGCTGTGAGTTTGGTTTGGGTGTTAAGTGTCATCCATATCTTATTTTCGTTTTCCGTATGATTACATCCTGAGAGACCTCACACCCCATGAGCTTGGGGTGAGGGGGCTCCCACAGGCCCTGTGACTACTGGGGCACGGAGCACTGGCATACGCGCACATGCCAGGGCTGCAGGGGCGGCTCTCACCTGTCAGGGTGTACTCTGTCTGCCGGATGCCCTCGACGACCATCCAGGGCTGGTCCTCCTTGAGGCGGGGTGGGCCCTCGAAGTTGGTCCGCCGGTACTCCAACACGTAGTGGTCAATCTTGCTGTCTTCGTCCGGCATGCGCCACGCCAGCGTCACACAGTTGTCCGCCACGAGGGACTCAGCCAGGTCGATCACGGGGGCGCTGGGCACTGCCCAGGCAGAGGGGAGAGGGGTCAGGGGTCTGGGACTCGGGGTGGGGCTACCTTGAGGGTCTGCCTTTGGGGGCAGACATCCTTTGAAGGGGGGCAGGGGCGGGCTGGGCCAGGGGACCAGCGAAGGGGCAGGGTCTCTTCAAGGTTCCTCTGTAAGGAGTGGCAGGTTTCTCAGGTTCCACCAACCAGGGAGTAAACTTTCTCAGAATCCGCCATCGCAGGACAAAACTTTTGGGAATTTTCTACTACTCAGGGGCATGGCTTTCAAGGAATGCCATCATCGGGGGAGGGGCTTTCTTAGGACACTACCTAGGGCATCGCCATAGGATCCGCCCTGGAGGCAGGCGGCCTCAGGCTCCACCCAGAGGCGGGGCCCTCTTAGACTCCACCCCCCCAACATGGGTCTCCTAAGCTCCACCCTTGGGGGGATGGGGTATTCTTGACTCAACCCTGGAGTGGGACCTTCTTAGGATCCACCCTCGGGCGTGGCCTTCTCAGGGTCCACCCCCCGCAGGGCGTGGCCTCCACAGGACCCACCCCCTCCAAGGCATGGCCCGCACAGGGCCCGCCCCTCGGGGCGTGGTCTTTCAGGATCCACCCCCTGGGGCGTGGTCTCCACAGGATCCACCCCTCAGGGCGTGGGCTTTTCAGGGTCCACCCTCAGGGGCGTGGCCTTCTGCTTCAGCCTTGGGAGGGGCCTATCTTACTCTATCACAAGCCCTCCCTCGTTCCCCTTGGCCAGTTCCCAGATGCCAGCCCTAGGTAGCCACCCCCTATCCCCTTCACCCCACTCCAGCACTCACCGGGAAGGAACTTGAGCGCCTGCAGCATGCGCCGCTCCTGCGCAAAGTCCACCATGAGGTGACTCATATTATCACTGACCTTGGCTTTCAGGGACAGCCGGAAGGCAGGAGCCATGGTCACACTGCAGGGGGAGGGGAGGGGAGGGGAGTCCGCTGGGAGGCGTCTGGGGTGCTCCCGGCAGGGCAGTCTGTGGGTGCAGGAGGACCCTCTACACCCCAGGGACAGGGCAGGGTGGGGGCAATCCCAGCATCTTACCCGTCTTTGATTTGCTTGGCAGCCTGGAGGGAGGAATAGAGCGAAACTCAGACTCATTTCTATAGAATCAGAAAGCCGCAGGCCCACTGGACAGATGGGAACACTGGGTCCCTAGCTCGCAGGCCTGGGGCGGGAACCCTGTTGCTTCTGCCCCCTCCACACTGGCTCCAGAGTATGAGGCGGTCAGAGACAGACCCCCACCCACCTCCTGGCTCTTGACCCTGACCTATGGTGGCCAAATTCAGCAGATCAAACACAGGCGACCCAGTTCAACTTATCTTTCAGAGAAACAGTGAACATATTTACAGTATAAAATATGGTGGGGGCAATATTGAGGAGACACTTAACATTGCATGGGACTGGGATACTGTTACTTATTGGGAGACCATGTAGCAGCTGGTGGCTTGGAATTGCTGGCCTTGCGCTTAGCAGCCAACCTAACCACCACCAGGGCATGGGATATATTTGTGCTAAAGATCAATTAATTACTACACCCTGACATTGACTGTGGTGATGATTGCACACATCTTAATATGATCCAACCATTCAAGTGTACGTGGGAAGAATGGCTTTTAAAAACGAATTTTGAAAAGAAAAAAAAAAGGAATTTTGAATTTCGGAAAGACATTTAAAATTGTTCACTGTTTAGCATAAGTTCACCCCAAGCTGTGTTTGGGACATACTTATACAGAACACCCCATAGTAGATACAGATGCTGAAAATGATGTGTGGTTACATTTGAAGACCAGCTAAACAACAAATCATTTTTCAGTGCGTCTGTCTCATGCCATATTGGGGGCATCCATATGATATTGCCTGGCCCATGGTTGCACTAAACCTGGTTTGTTGCTAAATCGAATTTCAAATACACAGCGAAGCATTTTTTTAGGGCAATTGTGTTCCAGTGGTGTAGCAATTAAAGTGCTTGGCTGCAACCAAAAGGTGGGTCCTTTGATCACAGTGGCTACTCAGGCAGGAAAGAGAGGAGGCTATCTGCGTGCACAGCAGCCCAGGGGGTGCAGTAGGTTATAAATTGTGCTGGTAACCACAAAGTCAGCAGTTTGAAACCACCAGCCCTCCTTGGGAGAAAGGTGAGGCTTTCTACTCCTGTAAGGATTTAGAGTCTCAGAACCCACAGGGGCAGTTCTACTCTGCCTCCTTCCTTGGTTGCTATGAGTCGGAATCAGCTGGGCGGCTGCCGGTTTGTTTCTGGCTTATTTGGTACACACGTAGCCTAAACACCACCTGACTATCCTTATCCTAAAATCTAAAATGAGTTTTTTTGTGGTGAAATGTGAATGTCTGAGAAAGAAATCAAATCATTTTCCACTGCAGAGAAATAATTCATTTCTAGGGTTAAGTATATCTCCCACGATATTCTGCATATACTTAGACGCGATCTAAAGAGCGTTCTGCTCCCCTAACGATTCGCAGCTGGGAGACTCAGGCTGTACTCCTGAGCTCCACTCTGTTCTGTAGGGTCGCTATGAGGCAGCATCAACCCCATGCCAGCGAGTTTGAGTTTTTTGGTGGTAGTCAATCTTGGTACAGACCATATTTATGCCTAAACAGTGATTTTTGTTATTTGAGCTTCAGGTTTCACAGGGGGTCCGGTATCAGGCGACACTCTCCCACCCCCACCCCACCCCCCTCGTGTGTGTCTGAGGTGCTGACCTGGGGGAAGTCCTCCCTGTCAGCAGCCTGCAGCGTCTGGTTGGCCGTTTCCAAAAGTTCCTCAGAGCTCTCCAGGGCCCGGGTGCAGGCAGCCAGCTGGTTCTACGGGTTATAGGGTCGCACACATCAGTATGCTCACCTGGGTACCCAGCCCCCAGAACACCCCATCACCTTCAGGACCCGGGGTGATGGTCAGAAGAAGACTGTAGAATCTGACCACCTGGGACACTGCCCGTTGGCGTGAAGGGTGTCCTAGAGGCAGGGCTGGGAGTTACCCCTGAGTTGCTGAATTGGGATGAATCCCAGGGAGTCTTGGGGGAGGAGAGGGTGACCCAGCAGAGGGGGGCACTGGGGGAGCAGCTCTCCGAGCTCAAAAGGAAGATTCAAAGCAGCCAGCACTGCTATAGCAAGACTTCTCGGCCCCACACTCTGGATCCTGAGGTCTCACCATGTCCCTTCCTGCCTCACCCAGGCCACCTGGACTGTAACTCAAGGTGGGAGAGAAATGCTGGAGCCCCTAGCTCCCTACCACACCAGGCCTCACTCCTGCCAGCCCCCCAGGATCCCCTGGAGGACCCCTTTCCTTAAAAACTCACATGACCTGGCCACACCTGAGCCCACACCTTCTACAATCCCTGGGGATGAAATGTGGGGTGTGAAGATGTTGTCCGAGGGGCCCAGTTTGGAGCCTGAGACCCAGAGGAGCCATGGGAGGTATCTGAGTAGGGGTGATGCCATCAGATCTGAGGACCAGTGGGAGCGGGGTGTGTAAGGACGGGAAATGACCAAGCCACAGGGAAAGGAGGGGCCTGATGAGAAGGGATTAAGAGGGATCGCAGGTGGATGTGGGGGTAAGGGGTCATGGCCAGTGTTCCGGATGCAATGTGTCCCCCAAATTACTTCCCTTCAATCTTGATAAACCTGAGGTTATAGCCCCCCTGGGACTAGGACTTTCTTTGTTATGTTAATGAGACAGTATTATCTGGGGTTTGTTTTGAGTCAATGTCTCCTGGGACATAGGCCACATGACCAAGAATCAGGACCAAGGAACCCCTCCTCCCTCGCTGCCCTCCACCAGGGCAGAGAGCAAGCTTTGCCCTAGAGCAGCGGTTCTCAACCTGTGGGTCACGACTCCTTTGGGGGTTGAACAAACCTTTCACAGGGTTCGCCCAATTCATAAGAGTAGCAAAATGACAGTGATGAAGAAGCAATGAGAATAATGTCGTGGTTGGGGGGTCACCACAACATGAGGAACTGTATTAACGGGTCATGGCATCAGGAAGGTTGAGAACCACTGCCCTAGAGCCAGTCCCTTGACTTTGGATTCTAGGCATCTAATCCTGGGGATCCTGGTTGTGTAGTGGTTACTTGTTGGGCTGCTAACTGCAAGGTCCACAGTTTGAAACCACCAGCCTGGCCGAGGGAGAAAGATGGGGCTTTCTACTCCCAGAAACAATTGCAGTCTTGGAAACTCACTGGGGCAGTTCTACCCTGCCCAACAGGGTCGCTCTGAGGCAGCACTGGCTCTATGGCAGAGAGTTTTGGTAATCACGGGACTGGCAAGCAAGACGGAATCTGCCGTGGACGGACGGCCAGGAGCCCAAACAACCCCATCTGAGAAGATACACAGCCAGAGTGCTCCTTAGAAGCGAGGGTGGTGGCACTTTGTCCCAAGTACATAGACGTGTGATCAGGAGGGACAGGGCATCGGGCTTGGTAGAGGGGCAGGGACGGAGGGGCAGACCCTCTACGAGATGGATGGGCACAGTGGCTGTAACCATGGGCTCAAACACAACCAACGGTGTGAGGTTGGCACTGGACGGACTGGGCAGTGTTTCCTTCTGCTGTGCTTGGTCCTTCCGAGTGGGAACCGAACCACAAGGTGAGCTAGAATGGACTCCAGCTCCTACAGGGCTCTAGTGGCGCAGGGGTTAAAACAGTGGGCTCCTTGGCGACAGTTGGAACTTATCCAGATGCGGGGATTCACCCCCATCAAGGTGACAGCCTACGAAACCCCCTGGGGTCATTCTACGAGGTCACAGGAGGTCACTATGAGTTGGAACTGGCTGGATGGCACCCACCACCCACAGCCCTAACGAGGGAGCAAATCCATTTCCGTCCATTAGAGCCTCTCATTTGGGGTGCTTCTGTTGACCGCAGTGGCTGGGTCGCTAAGACAGCCGGGGGAGCAGGCAGGAAAAGGACAAGGGAGACCAACACCTGGGCTCGGGCTCTGGGTACGGGTGGGGCCCAGGGGCACCTCTGAGGGCAGGCATGGCCCAAGGAGCAGGCTTGGAGGGACACAGAAGGCCAGCTGGGCTCTGGGCAGCCGCCCTCCCCACCTGCCCTCACCTGCAGCTCATAGGTCCGGCTGGCTCGGTCCTGCTTGATTTTCATCAGCATGCCCTCCTTCAGTTCCTCCAGGGGGACAAAGAGGGACTGGAACTCCGCCTCCAGGTCCTCCTGCACCTTGACGGAATTCGCCTGCACGACAGACAGACCGGGGGTTGTTGGGGGGGCGGGGAGGTCAGGGTGGTAGGTATGGGGCTAACCTCCTCTTCGTTCAGATAGGAAGCCTGAGGCGGACGCTTTGCACCCCCTCCCTTCCCTTGCTCCCTGGCTGGGACCCCGCGTTCCCTTCCTCACCTCCACATTCAGTAGCATCTGCTTGAGAGAGTAAATGAAATTCTGGATTTCTTCATTCTTCACAGCCAGCGTGGTGATGATCTTCTGCAAAGCTTCCTGTCCCCCCAAGAAACAGACACACACACACACACACACACACACGCCCTCGTGTCCTCCTCAATTGCCCCTGGCTCCCCCACCCAGATGCTCCTGCCCCAGCTCTGCCCTCCAGGGGGGCCACAGTGCCTCACAGATAGGTACCAGGATCAGATCCACTTTACAGAAGGGCAAAGGGATGCTCAGAGCGGGCTTCTTGGAGGACCAGTTAAGGTACAGACGCTAGACCCACAGGCCAGGCCCTGTGCCAACTCAGTGGGGCCACACAGGCATCAAGCAGGTACCTAGATTCAGAGGGAGGGGTCTGAGCTGGGGGGAAGGGGCTAACCCGGAGAAAGAAAACCCCAGAGGAAAATAAGACCTCCGGAGAAATGGGCTAACCTGGCTCCAGGGGCCACATGAGCAGACACACCCACCCTAGGGGAGTGGGCTGGCTTGGGATAAAGGCTTGGAGGGAGGGATCCTGAAGTGGAATTTACCTAGGGGAAAGAGGCAACCTGGGCAAAGGGATTAGCAGGGAGAAGGAACATGTCTTGGAGATGGGGAATTGGAAACAGAGGATGCCAGGGGTCGGAGAGTCCAGGTAAGGGAAACTTGGGAGGGAAGGCTGGCCAGAGAGGGTCTGTGGCGCTGAGCCCCTTTCCCTGGGCTAGGGGTGTGGGTGCTGAGGCAGGGAGGCGTCCTCCCAGGGACACCTGATCAGAGGCCCGGATGAAAGGTGTGGGGGATGGGGTCAAATCTGGGACTGGGATGCAGGACAGGGGTGGGGGAGTATGGGTATGGAGGGGGTGCGCCTGGAACCCAGCCACGATGTTAAGGAGGCCTTGGGGTGGGGGGCGGGGGGAGCCTGAGTCCGGGATTTATCCGGGTGGAGCTGGGCAGGGGCGGGGCCTTGGCCGCAAAGTGGGGTGGGGGGGTGCTGCGGCATCACCTGGTCCCCTCCCTGGTCCACCCCCACGCAGGCCCCGCCCCGCCCGGCCTGGATCCTACCCTCTGGTCCTCCATGGCGGCACCCCGGACGCCCCAGAGCGGCCCGGCCCGGCCCGCGGGCCCCCGCACGCTCCTCCTGGTCTCGCAGCTGCCCGTGCCGCTGCCGGGAGCCAATGGCCCGCCTAGCCCTCGCTGCCGCCGCCGCGCCCCCCGTCAGCGCTCCATCACTGCGCGCAGTGCGCAGGCGCGCGCATTCTGGGACGTGTAGTTCAGGAGGGCGGGGGATGCTGGAGCCGGGGTGCGAGGTTATCAGGGATGGCTGGGCCGGGAGGCCGGATGTCCGAGTTCGAGCCCTGACGCTGCTGTGTGACTGGGGGCCATCCCTAACTCACTTGGCATCCTAGTCTCCTCACTTGCTCGCCACCCCTCAACCTCACAATCTGGGTCTTCCAAGATCCTGCCTCACCTCCAAAAAAAACAAAGCAAAACAAAAAGATCCTGCCTTGCCGTTCACACATCATGGACCCGATTAAAAGCCACGGCCTTTGCCTGAGGATGTCCACGTCTCCAGTCCTTGTACTCCACCGCACTGCACAACCGGACTCCTATCCATCCCACAAAGCCCCAGGTTCTCACAGCTTGATGTAGTTCAGCACTCACCACATTAGGCATGAGTCCCTCGCTATCCGATCTGGGGTGGGGGAGGAGTTGGGAATGTGGAGGCAGGTGTATGATGATCCAGATGTGGTGAAGAGAGGGAGTCGTGAGCGTGGGAGGGATATCCGTGGCTCACAGAGCCCACCTCCCATCCTCATGGGGCCTGGGGGAGTTAGACCCATTTCACAAACGCAGCTTCTAAGGAGGCTCGGCTTCCATTAGACGAGATGAGTCTTTCCGGGGACTCTCCAGGGTCCCCAGCATTGCCCCTCATCAGAGGGGGGCGGCTGATAACCTTCACAAAGGCAGAAAAGGGAGGCCTGTGGTCTGGGGTGAGGAGTTGGGGGAGGGTGGCTGTGTGGGGGAGGCTGGACCCTATTCTTGTCGATGTGGGGAGCAATGAGCTTCTCTGCAGGGTGCCTCCCAGAGGCTGCTGGGAACAGTTCTTTGAAGCCCGCCTGTGTCTCCGTTCTGGGTGAAAAAGGAGGTCAGAATGTGGTTGGGGTTAATACTCTGAGGCCACTGGTTGTCGCCTTCTCCCAGGGGGCTCTTCCTGCTGGGGGGTGGGGGTCAGGGCTGCAGGGCTGGGCCAAAAATTTCTTTGCAGGTGATGAGACAGACACCCCCCCTTTCCACTCCTCGCCTCCAAGCCATCGTGGGACCCAAAGCCATGAGATGGAACCTAGGCTTAGTGCAGCAGTTTTCAACCTGTGGGTTGCGACCCCTTTGGGGGTTGAATGACCCTTTTTCACAGGGGTCGCCCGATTCATAGAAGTAGCCAAATGACAGTTATGAAGTAGTAATGAAAATAATTTTGTGCTTGGGGGGGGCACCACAACATGAGGACATTTCTGAAAGGGTTGTGGCGTTAGGAAGGTTGAGAACCACTGGCCTGGTGGGTCCCAAAGGAAGACATTTGGGGGGACACAAAAGGCTAGGATGCTGCCATTCTCCCTGCCAGGCTGTCTGTCTGCCCTGTGCCACTTGCCTTGCCCAGATATCCCCTCGGTCCGGATGTGTGAATACTATAGCCCCCCCCAGGTCCATCCACTTCTGAAGGCTATGTTTTCTATTGGCTGACAGCAAGGTCAGCAGTTCAAAGCTACCAGTCAGCCCCATGAGAGGCTTTCCACTCCCATCAGGAGTACAGACTTGGAGACCCACAGGGGTAGTTCTACCCTGTCCCGACGGGGCGCTAGGAGCCGGCATCCACTCAGTCAGCCGGGACATTGAGCAAGTCAGCCTTCCCTGAAGAATTCTACACTTCGCAATCAATACCACATCAATGCCAGAGTTGGGGGCTCTAAGCAGGCTGGATCAGGGCTGGAGTGGAGGGAGCAGGGGCCCCCAAGGAGGGGCTCCCAAGACAGCCTGGCTCCCCTCCAACAATGAGCAGGTGCCTTCTTGTGGTGCAAAACACTTGGGGAGCTTCTGCTCCCCAAGGTGGTTTCCCATCTCCTGCAAACGTCTTCATTAAAGCCCCCAGGATCGTCCTTCGAGGAATTCTAGGAAGATGACTGTTCTACCACTTACCTCAAATTTAACTGGCCCGGCAGAGTTCCCCTGGGAAACCACTGTTTTGATTGGAACTTGTTGTTGTTGGAGACAGCCTAAGGAGATTAAGGAGCCCTGGTGGCATAAAGATTACATGATGGGCTGCTAACTGCAAGGTCAGTAGTTCAAACCCACCAGCCGCTCCTCCTTGGGTGAAAGACTGGGCTTTCTACTCCCGTAAAGACTTACAGTCGGGTGGAGGGTGGGGAAAGGAGGGGGCGGAAAGAGGAGTTTATACCAAGGGCTCAAGTAGAAATGTTTTGGAAATGATGATGGCAGCCTATGTACAAATATGCTTGATACAATGGATGTCCAGAAATGTTATAAGAGCTATAGGAGCCCCTAATAAAAAAAGTTACAGTCTCGGAAACCCACAGAATTCTGGGTCTCTGTGAGCAGGCACTGAGTTCCCGGCAGTGGGGAGGAGGTTTAGACAAGGGCATGACCGAGTGAATTTGTCTGCAGCCGTCCACAGATGGCAGACACACCCTTGTCCACCTGGATCTGGAGTAAACCCCCCACACGTACCGACGGGACAGTACATGTTGACGTACTCGTGTGTGTGTGTGTGTGTGTGTGTGTGTTCTTCGACGGAGACGGACATGCACTGTAACACGCACTTCCAAACACATACACGCTGCCCGTGGCCCCAGAAGTAAATCGATAAAGACTTTGGGGAAACTGAGGCACCAGAAAGCAGGAAGAAGAGGCCCGGTGTAGCTTCTGCCACCAGACGCCTGGCCCCTGGTCTAGGGCCATATCTGCCTCCGCAGCCGGGGCGGGGACTGTCACAGGAAGTCTGTGGGGTGGGAGGGAGAGAGGGCACAGCTGGGCCTACTGGAGACTGGAGCTCCGCTCCATGGGTCACGGATGGGGCCCCTGAGCGCAGGGCTGGTGTTCCTGGCGCAGTGCTGGGGTGAGTACCTGGTCCTCATTCACTTGCCACCCCTGCTCTTCTCCATCACCCCACCTGCCTGCCTCCCCCTCCCCCAGGGCCCCCCAAGCCTCATCCGCCCTGTGCTCCCGAGAGGCTTGTCTGATTCTGATGCTGGTGCTCCGAGCCTCACCAGGAGTGGAGGATCCTGTGATGCGGCCCCAGTGAGGGGGCCCTGGGATAGAATCCAGACTCCACCAGGACACCCCACCCCCACCCTGGCAGCCAGCCCGATGTGGGTGTGAGCTGCCCGCTGGTCTGTTCTCCCCTTGCCCCCCACCCGTGTCCTCCTCTGACCCACTGGCTGTTCATGCTTGCTGTTCCAATCCAGACATCCCAGGCTGGGAAAGCACCTCAGGGCCTTTGCACGTACTGTTCCCTCGACCTGCAACACTCTTCCCCCCCAGGATAGTCTCCTCCCTGCCGCAGCTCCGTCTCAGAAGCCAGAGGCTGGAAACTCTGTCCTCTCCTGGGGGGTGGAGGTGGGGGTAAGAGGCCTTATGGTGGCCTCCACAAAAACATCTCTCCCCCACCGTCCCTTTCATGCCCGTCTCCCCCCCCTCTCAGTTCAAACCCACCAGCACGGAGGACTTGGAGGGGGACAACGGTCAAAGGCCATTGCACGCGGCGAGGCGATCTTTCTCAAACGGAAACGGAACCCTGCTTCCGTCCCCCTCTGGGTCCCGGGGTTTCTTGCCATATTTGGATTCAATGCAAGCGGTGTCTCCACCTCTTATCCCCAGACCCTGCTGTCAGCAGACAAGGTTTGCCTGAACCACCCTGCCATCTTCCTCCTCTCCCCCTCGCTCACTCCCTTCCAGCCACAAGGGCCTCCTCACTGGCCCTGCCACTCACCAGGCCTGGTCCTGCCCCAGGGCCTTTGCATGCGCCTTATCCTC